TCCTGCTGGGTCCTTCTGAGCTGTTTGTCATTTTCTCCACCCACCCTTCCCAGGGTCTTGGGATGACCAGTTCTCAGGGACTAATATAGGAACTTGAAGAATGCATCCATTTCGGCTGCAGCATTCCTGAATCTCAGTAGAGCCTGTTGCTCGCATTTTTAGTGCATGATGTTGCCTTTTTTCCCCTAACTTGGGATTTTTTTTTTTTTTTAAAGTTGAGCTAATAAGCCATTCCTGGTTCTCTTCTTGTTCAGAATAACAAAATGACTGTTGCTGGGCTCAAGAAACTGCACACTGTCTGAACTGTAGACATTTGGGAGGAGGGATTCTTTTAATTGTCTGTTTCAGCTCTCCCTCATGAGCACGTAGTTGTTACTTTAGCGTGGTTGATAGGTAGCTCAAAGGCAACCGGGCTAACACCAATTCTCCACAACGAATGTGGAGCCTGATGCAGGCAGGGTAGTCTATAGCAACAGCCCTCATCTCTAATAGAGAGGTGCAGCCTGCTTTGGACCTATCTCAGCAGGCAGTTTTGTATTAAAGAGGAAGCTGTCAATAGAGTGAAATTACAATGCAGCTTTCAGCTGCAACTTGCATCTGCTTCAGTTGGTGAAAGGGATGAGGTTGGGCTTGTGGTGATTCCTCATGGAAGCTAAATCTTACTGACTTCCTCAAATGTGATGGGTTATCCCTCTTTTACTGTGTGAAGGTCGACCTAGTTTAACTGTACCCAGCACAGATCATGGCAGGATTTACCACTGTCACTTAAAAACAGCCCACTGCCTGCCTTGGTGCTGCCAATGCTTCAGCTGAGAGGGAGCAGTGGCAAGGAGTTTACGGGGGAAAGAATATAGGTAGACTCCCATTAGTGAATCTTTAATGTATATCTGGGTGCTATGTATCCTTCAGAACAGAACTATTTTTGGGAATATAGCTGGGCATGGTCCAGCTTTAAGTACAGGGTTGGACTAGATGACCTCCTGGGGTCCCCTCCAACCCTAATTTTCTATGATATTATGAATGCTGGGATGGGTAAACTAAGACTTTTCTAATAGCTTCCATTCTGAGCTGGAACTGTCAGCTCCATAGCGAATTGGGGAAAGTAATTGTTCTATCTCACTAAAGCTGCATTGCAAAAATAGCTGGAGAAATAAGAACTCTAGATACTGGAGGCTGAGTAGGTAGGTGGGACTCTGGCTGGTTGTTCTAGCTTCATTGATATTGACAAGGTAACAGCATAATGAAATGTGTGTGTTTTTAGACAATCTGCTAGGATTTCAGGAAAGGACAGATTGTAACTCTTGTATGCTGCCTCTCCCACCCCTTCTTGATGGAGTTCTATCAGTTCCAGATAAGATGTTTGATGAGGCTGACTTCCGCTGTGGAAATGACACGTCCTGTGTCACTCATAACTGGAACAAATGTTGCATGGCTTGGCGGTTGTGGCTGTAATTGCTAAATTAAGAAACCCACAAAAAACCCAGTCAGGCGACTTCATCATTATCTGGTTGTTTTTTTGAGGTTTTGTTAAATAGAAGACAAATGACCAAGGACTTATCTTGCACTTTAAGCAGAGAATTACTCCTTGGTCTGAAGTAGGGATATGGTATCATACATCTTTAGTCATGAAGAGGTGTAGCAACTCATTCCTTGAGGCTTTGGTCACCAATAGGTATGTAGCCATAACTTCTTTTGATGTAGCTGATAATCTTTCTGCTACTACTGACTTGACTAACTAGGCTGGTACTGCACCATACTGAGTATCTACAAGTGGTCTGCATGAGCTACTTGCTAGCAGTCTGCAGAAGTGGTTAGTTGCAGCAGCTTCCCACTCTTAAGAGGTACAGTGTGAACAGGACCTGGGCAGCTGCTTCCTTCAGTCCAGAAGAAAAGCCTGCTAGAGAGACAACACTGCTACCTTGTATGTTGCAGTATAACTAGGATCTGCTCCAGTGCGTGTGTGAGGCTTTTTGTTTGTTTGTTTTTGTTTTTTGTCCCTTTTTTTTCCCCCCCTCCCACCCTTGGGGAGGGAGGGGGAGGCTGAAAGCTACCAGATTTGAGGCTTCTATAGCATTGTACCTTTTTGTGAGGCTCTCATATCCTTTCTAATTAACTTGTGCCAGAGGGTGAGCGGGAGCATTATTTGCAAACATGGATAATTAATTACCTGTGTCACACATGCTCCTGTTCTTCCCACCTCAAGTGCTAGAGCAGGTTGCCTGGATTTCCTGAGTTTTAGATAGAAGGCTCCTCTCCTTCTGGCTCTTGCAGTTGATTAGTGCAGTAATGTCCCCAGTAAATGATACATCAGTCTGAAGTGAGGAGAGGAGCATATAGTAATTTCTGGTGGAGGAAAATGCTGCCCAGACCCAGTGCCTCCTACAGTAGCCTACTTCCAGCTGATGCCTAGTGTAAAAGGCTGCTTGTTGGCTGGATGACAGGATGAGCCCTGCCAGCTAGGAAGGAGTTCTGTTCCTTCTGGCTGCCAGAAGATTGGGCATTCTCTTTTGAGAGAAGGATCAGTTGGGATCATAAATACCTATGGTCTGTCTGAATAAGGTGTTCATGCACCTATTGTAATATGAATCTTATACAAACTTTAAGACAAATTTGTCGACACCACTGCAAAGCAAGTCAGCAGCATCTGCATTTTCCAGATAAATGCTTACATACTTCTAGAACTCGGGCCCTTAATCTCTGCCTCAGGCATTTATTTAAGTCTTGGGTAACTAAAGTAACTTAAATTCTATTGCTAAGTGACTCAGTTAAATCACATGTGTTCAGTCCCCTGTTGCCAAACTTCTTGGGTGTCTGCACTCCAAGCATGATGCCCTAAACCAGGGGCCAGCAACCCCTGGCCTGCGTGCCGAGCATGGTGGCACGCAAGGCCATTTTGCTTTGCACGCCATCACCAGCCCCGTTCTTAAGCAGCTGCTGCCAGCCATGGAGCCCAGGCTGCTTCCAGCAGGTGGCAGGGAGGCTGCAAGGTCTGCTGCAAGCAGACCGGGTTCCATGGGCCGGCTGCAGCTAGGAGGCTGCAAACAGCTGCTCTGGGCTCCAGCATGGCGGCACTCCGGCACCTTCCGAGGTAGACATTGTTTTTTTCGGCACTCCAGCCAAAAAAACATTGCCTACCCCTGCCCTAAACTATGAACTCTCTATGCCTTTCTTCCTCCCAAAATGAAGATGAAAACAAGATTTGCTAACGCAGAGCTAGACCCCTGCCAAGGGTAGGAAGCAAAACTCTCTTGGAAAAAATCTGCATCTATGAAGACATCCTCTTTCACTAGGGGAAAAGCAAACAGAAACCTGCATGTTGTGGGTGACTTGGCAGGCACACAAGGAAAAGTATTAATACGTTGCTCGGAGCAATTGAAGTGAGGCATTTGCCCTCTGCTTCAGCTGAGTCATAAACTCTTTTTCTGTGCTGTGGCTTTTTCAGTAGGGTGTGGTACTGGAGTGCAGGTAACACAGACTCTCTTGAAGAGACTAGCAAAGCTGTTGCTCAGCCTTCAGCAGTTACGCTGAAATAGTGGAAGCAATGGTGGTGGGATGTGGGGGATGGAGTATCTTAAATGTGTTGTACAGACCCCTGTTCCCCCCCCCCCCCCCCCCAGCCCAGTCCAGTAGCAAGTACAGAACCAGCTGTTCACCCTGAAGTTGGGAACTCTCCAGAGCTGAGAGCTTTGCCTTGTAGCTAACGTTGTATTCCCCACTCATATTTAGAGGACCATGTTTGGTATGGGGGAGCAGTGTGTCATGCATCGGTTGTTGGGTGTCAGTTTGAGTGTTTGTTCTTTTATATTAGTTCTAACCCTAGGTCCATGGTGACCTGAATTTCACCCGTGAAGGGTGTAACTTGACACTAGGTGAAGCTGTTTTTTGCTTGGGTATGCTCTGCTTTTGAGTTCTTTGCATCTGCCATCCTCTAATAATTGAAGAGCCTGTGGGCATTTCATAGGCAGAACTTGGTAGCAGTTGGGCTTGCAGCAGTCCTTCATGCTTGGGTGGCTTGTGCACTTAGCAGCTGTTGCTGTCTTGGGAGACCAGCTGGGAGATGGGAGTCCAGGTTGGTTTCAAGGTTACCCTAGGAAAAATCTAGAGTTCCAGTAGTAGCTTACAAACACTTTTTCCATGGGGCCTTTTCCAGTTGGAGGAACTGGTCACATCAGTCAGGGCCAAGTGCAGTGCTTGTTCTATAAATGTTTTAGGTGTTAAACCAACAGTTTGTTGGAGTGTGGTGGCTGTCATAACTTGTAATGCTTGTGTGTCAGAAAAGTGAATCACGGTCTGGATTTCAAGGACTATTTCTTCTGGCCTTGGTGTAAGTGGGAGTGTGCGCATTGGCATCTGTAAGGGGGCAGCTAGTCCTTTGCTGTATGCATATGTTTAGACCTCGGGCCCTGAGCAACGGTGTAGGACAGGCTTAAGGCTGCTGTTGTGGGCCCCCACAGCAGATGGGGGAAACTCAAGATGCCACCATGCTGCCATTTTGTTAACTAGCTGAATCCTCTGTCCCTAGGGTGGGAGGAGAGAGACTTTCTTCTGCTGCCTCTCTTGCAGCTCCCTTTCTTTCCCCACCCCCATTTTCCCTTCTCTTTAGGATCACAGATTCAGTGGTATAAGTCTAATATCGTTCCTGGGTGAACCCTTCCGAGATGCCTGGCAGGTCAGAACAAACGCATGCAACTGCAATTAGTACTGCCATGGCCTGATAGGGAGAAGAGCTGAGACTCGATGGGGGTAATCCTGTCCCTTCTAGTGATGCTAGGGCTCATATGGCCTCCAACTATGTGAGCTCAGAGGAGAGCCAGCTGGGAAGGGCCACCCAGGTATTCAGCCAGCTGGAGTAGAGAAAAGCAGTTGTAGCTGAGATGCTTTGGTTGATCCTCATGTCAGGCTGCTGGTTCTTCTGTTTTATTTTTTTGTTTAGTTTTTTTTTGCCGGGGGGGGGTTGGTCTTATCTGGGACACTTTGTCCCCATGTTCATTCCCTTTCTCTTCCCTGAAGCCTTATTCTACCTTCCCTCTTTCCCCAATCAGTAGTCTTCCCCTCTTCTTGTCTACTATAAGCCCACCTGAGTAGGAATTTTTTTTTTTCCTCTGTACACTACTCAGTATCAAGTGGGGGACCTGATCTTGACATAATCAAGGTGCTACTATACTACTAAGAATAATCGTTCTGATTATTTTTTACTGTTTAGTCAAGGAATCGGTTGCCTGCTCTTCGAGGCTTAAACCCATGGGTCCTATAGCACTAGGAACATTGTCTATCTTTGAAAAATCTTTTAGGG